ACGTTTCGACAAGGTTTTGTATCTGATAATGACAAAACCTTGTTGAAATGTTGTACATTTGCTGTTATGTTAAACTTATATTAAAGTTTTTCTTCATTACCCATTCAAGCCGTCTCCAGACATTATTACACTTAGTCTATATTACTTTTTGATATAGTTATTTCACATATGTAACTGTAGAGGGAAGATTATTTTTATATTAGTTTCTAGAAATTGTTATTTTTAATTCTCAGAAAGACTTAGCATTGATGTTTGTTATAAGCAGAACTAGAGATGTTTCATAGAAAATTATTGGATGATGCAAAATTTTCAGCATTGAACTGACAGTTGAAGCTCGTGAAGTAAAAGATGAACTTTACTGTTTACGCTGCCATGATAAGATGGGAATCCCAATTTGTGGAGCATGTCGTCGCCCTATTGAGGAGAGAGTGGTGACTGCCTTGGGTAAACATTGGCACGTGGAGGTAAGGCAATAAAGTGTAAAGATTTTCTTGATTTTTCATTGTCAGAATAAGATTAGTTAAGTTTAGGAGATTGACAAAACTGAGTAAGTCATAGTATCTGGTAATTTTTAGTAGTTGTCAATTTTAAAGTTGTGTAATAAATTGATGCATGTAAACCTGAAGAAGTTTAAGTTCGTTTTACCTGTGTATAAAATTACCTGGGAAGAACAGCATTGACCAAAATAAAACTGACGAAAACATCAACTATAACTAAAGTCGTATTAAAGTTAAATAAATGTAATACTAACGCTTTTATTGTATGAGTGTGTTTAATAGGAAGATATGATTCATTCATATAGTCCCAGATTTCTAGTTTTATTTTTGACTACATAATATATTTTGCGCTTATACTTTAACCTTTTTTTTTGACATAGTGAGCATTTTAAATTTTCATTTCCCTTCTACTTTTAAGCTTACATTTGTTTTATCACCCATTGAGAATTTTTAATTATAATATAACTCTGGTGTAATTATTATTATTTAACAGTTGCTGATTAAACTAAAATAATGAGATTTTGCTTGTTAAATAACATGGAGTAGGTTTCGCTAGGCACATTGCTAAGGTGTTGTTGTTGTTTACACTAAGCCTTCACCAGTAGTTAAAGAACTTGAATAGAAAGTCATAAATTTGAGTTTTATCCAAAATTAGATTTAAAATTTTATGATCTAAGAAAGACTTGAACAACTTGTATTTATTATTTAAAATTAACTTTATTACTTAAAATAATTAATGCATTAGACATTGGACAATAGTTTATAAGCAATCATGGTTTAAGAAAGCTTTGTATATTTGCATGTGTTTATTTCTTAACATATTTGGGAAGCTGAAGTTTAGGAAGTAATTTCTTGTTAATAAAAAAAATCCTGTAAGCTGATTATTAATGACTATAATTGATACCTTATTTTCTTCACACTAGCACTTTGTATGTGCCAAGTGTGAAAAACCTTTCCTGGGTCATCGTCATTATGAAAAGAAAGGACTTGCTTATTGTGAAACCCATTACCACCAGTTGTTTGGTAATTTGTGCTTTGTCTGCAATAATGTTATTGCTGGAGATGGTAAGATTTTTTTTTCTTCAGATGAAAATGCATAAAATATTAATGTATTACTTTCAGTTGTGTTCAATAGTGAACCAACTGTTTCCTAAAGCTATAGCCAATTCCTTAAAAATAGTTCAGTATTAGTGCTTTTCAAGTCAAGAGAAAGAAACTCCATAGGTATTGTTTTTATTTTTGTTAACTACTATCAGAGTGTGATATAAGATAGACAATTTTTATAGCATAAAAGCCCCCTGTGGGTCAATGGTAAGTTGAGGGACTTATCACTATATACATCACTATATAGTAGTTTGTTGTCTGTCAGTCAGTCAGTAGACACAAAAATTATGTCACATAAGGGATGCTTAATGTTGCAATTTATACTGTCGAGGCATCAGTAAAATTTGTGAATGCCAGGAATCATGAGAATCATGTATACTTACAACTAAAAGAGTGTAAAGAGTTTCTTATTTGAGGCATTCTTGGTCTGTCAACAACCATGCAAATTATAGTTCTAAATCTCTACTTTTTCACTTTCCACATGACTTGTGCAAGTACAAGGAGAATTAAATAAGCTCTAACCCCCCCCCCCCCCCCCACCAGGCTACATTTCATAGTTAATCTTTTTGTAACAGGAGCCTCTTTAAGTGTTTTTCTGAGCAAGTCACTGTGTCACATCCACAATTTAATTAAACACATTTACTATCAATGTATGTGAATGAAATTAATATTATAATGTATGTTATCATTCAAAGTTTTATTTTATCCAAGTTTTCAGTCCTTTATTTCAAAGTAAACTTTTAAAAACTACTTAAAACTTCAGATGTATCGTCATGTGATCAACGAGCTATGAAAATTCTCTACTTTGGCTCTCTGTATCTTCAATAATACAATGATAGTTGAGTAGAGGTACATTTAGACAATAAGATGCTTACGTAACCTTTTGATATATTTCTTTCAAAGTTCTCTGAATGAATAAAGTTGAAAAAGTAATACATTTTTTCAACCCCTGACAGCTGCCACAACAACCTTCAAAAGATTTGTTTAAGCATTATAGCCTACATGTAGACATTACATACACACGTGTATACCTGTTAGAAAGTGATAATTTTACACTATAATCTAACAATGGTTATTTTGAAACTTGAATTCAGTTTTAGTCACGGATTACATGTAATTGTGACTGTAGTATTATTGGCTGCTTGATCATCTATAGCACTTATGGTTGTTTCTAACCTAAATATGTTATAGTTAGAGACAGTCTACATTGTATTTAGGTCTTACTATCATGTTTTAGATAATTATGTATTAGTTATGTTTTAAAATGCATAACTGAAAGGTTTAAACAATTTTTAAATATACATCACACTTGTTTTAGTACTTGGTTTGTTGTCAGTTTATTGAATCAGCAAAAATGTTTTATTGGTACTTGGTTTGTTATCAATTTATTAAAGTAGCAAAAAATTTTTTATTAGTACTTGATTTGTTATTAATGTATCAAAACAGCAAAAATGGTTTATTGATACTTGATTTATTATTAATTTATCAAAACAGCAAAATTGTTTTAATGATTCTTTGTTCATTTGTTTTTCTTGCAGTTTTCTCAGCTCTAAACAAAGCCTGGTGTGTGAATCATTTTGCTTGTGCAATTTGTGACACAAAAATGAGCCAGAAGTAGGTTTTTATAGTTAGCTTATTATTTTAATTATTATTAGATTAGAAATATTTAGCTTTAGTAGCAAACATAATTCAAAACACTTTTACTTCATATGTCAACATATTTCAAGATAATAAACTGCCTAGGCTTTTGCAGAAAGTTAAGTTTGCGTATACTATATTCAGTGTGATGAAATACTTCCACTTGATACATGTTAGATATTATTTGTACAACTTTCAATATTTGGCCTTCCATTTGGCTGTGGGCTTTGGAAAAAAACTTGTAAATATGGATCTTGTAATAATTTTGAGAACAATATTGTTTACTAGTTTAAGGAAGGTTCTTTGTTTAGCTGTAATGAATTGCTATGTACTTATATAAGTCCATGTTTAGACAAGCAAGTTTTTATTACCTCTTGTGCACAACCAGTATCAAGTTATAGAGTAGCCTGTTGTTTTGTTTGTCGCTATGCTGGAATCACTTCTTCCTTTACATTTCTGATGTGGTTCAATAATATAGTTATGTCTTTCTTTGCAACATTAATATTTCATGTCTTGCATACTTTTATAATTATGAAATAGGTGAGAACTACTCATTGGAAAATTATAAATTCCTGTAATATAATATTCCCAGGAGAATTCAATTTTAAGGGCCATCTGTACTTTCAAATAATGCTTCAATTGAGTTCAGAAAGATGGTCAAAGCTTTTAATGGTAACTGGGAATGACCAGAGGCAAGGTGATTGGAGATGCATGTTGTTACTATAGTTCACTAACAACTGTATACCTCAGGCTGCTAATAAAAATTACATGAATATTTCTTAAATCAAAATCTTAAGTATGTTAACTGTAAAATTTTTTCTTTCAATAAATATATAGTAAAATGTGGATTCATTTCAGTTAAATTTTTATTTTTAGGACTAAGTTTTTTGAGTTTGACCTGAAACCAGTATGCAAAAGATGTTATGAGAAGTTTCCTGGGGAGCTGAAAAAACGACTGAAGAAACAGTATGAAAGTTCTCCAAGGAAAACAGTCATCTAAGTAAACGAATCTTTCTGTTGTTCTATTTTTGTTCTGCAAGAGAAAATTTAGTCTACTATTGAGAAGATGGTTACTTCAAGTGCCCTTAAATAAAGTGCCTCATAAAATGACCAGATAATGTCTTTACCAGTTACATTTTTTGTAAAGTTGTGTTTTGTGACATAAGAATATGTAAGACTTTTAATTTTTAAATGTTATTTTTAGTTGTTTATGTGTAAGATACAGAAAAGTAGTTGTCAGTAAGCACCAGTGTTGTATTAAAGATGAACTCGACTGTTGTATAAGTTGATATGTAATAATTAGTGACATATTCAAGTTCTATCTAAACAGCTGTTTATGAAAGAAGTGAGAAATACATCTGATGTGCTCTGTTTTCTGCCAGGAGTTGTTATATGAGTTTTCATTATATGTTTTATTTTTGTATTTTTATGGGGTTTTAAACAGCAGTACAGTTTTAAAGAAAAATGTAAGTCATTAGACTGTTCTTAACAAAAACAACTTTATAGTTGTTTTTGACATGTATAGGAGATAAATCTCTTTTAAAGTTTATTTTGTATGGCTGTTTTGCTGAAAGCATCTTTACAATATTTAAGTGCCATTATTTTGTAGCCTTTATCAAAATGGGATGTGGCTGTTTTGTTGACCCTAAAATAATAATTAATGAATATTATCCTGGAACTCCTCTAAAATGTTTTCCTGAACTAACTTAAAGAAAAACCTTCAAAGTAAGATACGTTTTTGAATGCATGTGTTTTAGACTTGTGCAATAAGGTGAGAATTACATATTTAATCTCAGTGATAAATCTAAAACTCCAGTGTTGTTTTTACTTATTTTATATTTTACCTCCTCTAGCAAATAAATAATACATGCAGGTTTCCTAATCCAAAATGTTGTGTTGGAAATTCTAATTAGTAACAATAAAGTAATGCTGTGTTATTTCTTGTTAACAGTATTATCCAGATTATATTTATTTGGATATAGAAGTGGAGTAAATATACCACCTTTACTGAAAGAAGTTTCAAAACAAAATTACGTATACCATGTTAAAGCTTCTATTTAACCAGGTGTATGACAATCACTGAGAGTGAAATAAATACATACATACATACACACACATATATGGTTTTTATACACTAAGAGTATGTAACTATACTGCAAACATGTAGAAAAAATTATAGATTGAAAAGAAAGAAAGGTCTTTGAAGCTAAAGAAGTTTTGTCTAAGGTTCACACTAAATTTTTCTGAAACATTCATGGGTCATGTATTCTCTCATTTATCCTATTTAATTCATTCATACATAAAATATCTGAGTGTTATATAAATTCTTCCATGGCTGTAGCTGTGTTGTGGCATTACGAGACAGTAACCTAAACACTTTACTGCCTGAGTTTAACAAGTGAGAATGCATAGTAGTTTGTCTTAGGCAAGATTTAGCTGACTAATACCAGCCATAAGCATGAAGTACTGTAGTAGTTTTAATAAAGGGAGACTTCTCCAAGAGATCATACATGGGTACTGGTACTCCTGAAAATTTCTGGTGCTTTCTTTATGTGTTTTTTTTGTTGTGTGTGTGTGTGTGTACTCCAGTTTACTTTTCTGAATATGGAAATGTAATGCTTATTTAAAATGTTTTCAGTTAAAGTACTTGTGCTGCTAATTTTTACTCTTTCAGTACAACTTGTTAGATATGTGCTTTTTAAGAGGTATCCACTTAAATTTGGTTAAATATGACATTTTGAAACAGTTATTTATGGGATAATAGATTTATTTCTGTACAATGTTTCATCTTTAACAGTCATATGTACCTTCGATGTTATACATGATCATATCTCATTGTTAAAGATGAAACGTTGTACATAGTTACTGTGTGGTGGTGATGCTAACATCGGTGTGTGAAAAACAAAATACTGTGGTGTTATTTAAAATTTTATATGTATATTGGATTGTGTTGTACTAACACAATGCTGTTTTTAAGCTCATTGTTATTTGTTCCTTTCTTTTTTTCTCCTCACCAAATTGTGTTATAACTAAATATTGAATATGCTGTGCATACATAGGTTTCATGAATATTTTCATTGAAAGCATACAGACTGACTCTGGCTGTATTTTTTAAGTATAGAAAAAACAATGGGCTGGAAGTGCCAATAAGCACTTGGTATTTTTGTGATTAGTATCATCCAGAGCAAGCAGTAGTAAAGAAATGAAATTTACTTTAAAAATCTTGAAAATTTTCTTAATCATATGTCATCTTGTATGAATTTTGTAAAATCTTGCATTGTTAGTTATAAAGAAGTACTTTACAGAAAGACAGTGTAAAAAATATTGTACTTGAATAGGTTGTGCTAAATTTGTGACTTGTCCTTTATTAGTGCCTTAAAGAAAGCAAAAAATACTTTTTTGTTTCAGCCAGAAACTAAATTCAATGAAGATATAATTATATGGTAGGTATAGATAACAAAAATTTTAAGTGATGTAAGTTATATTTACAAATCGTTTACTTAGGTAAGTAAAAGAAAGAGATGTATGGTAATAAAAGTCTTAAAACAAGATAATTGTTAAGAATTATGATAATTATAAATCTTGCTTTGTTTTTACATACCATGAAGTTAGTTAATACAACTAAGTTCATGACTGTATGTTTAGGAGTTTGTTCACGCAGTTTCTGAAGAGAAAGAGATTAGAAATTTAAAAAATCTCATTGGAAACCCTTGTTTCCTTAATTGTGGTATACTTGCATATTTCTCAACCATTATATTAGGTGTCAAGGATTAAGGTGAACTGTGTTTTTTCCACATGTTTTTGTCAGTCTTTTAACTTGGTTAAATATGGAGTAATACAAGAAGCTTTGTTTTAGCATTTTTATTGTAGTATTTTTACATTGGTATACATTTAATTTCTTGTATTTTAAACAATTTATTTATAATATTTTATTAGAAAATCTCAAAGTTTTATTTGTTTTTATTCATACTAAGATACAAGTTAATAATGTATTTTCTTTTTGCTTGTTATTAAATTTAATGTTTGCTGGTTTATATGTTACAAGTCTTAAGAGTTGTGACATTTATGGTTTATTACGTGTCTTATGTGTGAGAAAAGTTGGTTTACAAATATTATTTAAAACTTTTAGTACCTTTCAGTGGTCCAAGATCGGGAAAGATGTAATTCACTTATCATATACATCATTGATTTTAAATTATCTATCAGAAATCAATAATTATCTTAACTTTTTCCCATCTCCATTTTCATACAACAACAAAAAATAAATTGTTTAATGTAGATTTTTAGATGCTCTGAATCTAGAAATATGTGACGTACATTTGGTGGAATCTGTAATATTTTATTTTAAAGACATCATATAGAAACATTAATCATTTGAGTATTGCTTTTTTTTGATACACTAGAAATACTATCTTGTTTGATATTTTAATAAGTTAAATTCAGTAGTTCAAAACTTTTGCTTTTAAGCTTACTTGTCTGCCTATGAGAAAATATAGTGTTTGGAATTTTAAATATGGGAAGAAATTTAGTAGCACATACCCAATTATTGTGTGTATCCTAAAACTTTTTATTGTAGATACATAACATGTTATTGATTAATTCCTATTTGCAGTGTTTACAAGGTTTGTTAAAAATAGATATATAACATTTTTGGTGAAAACCATATTTTCAGTGCTTTATAATTAACTAAAACTTAACTTCTCCTGTGTACTTATCCTGCTTGTATAGAGGGGAAAGTACCAAGAATAAAGTTTATAATAATACTAAAGCGTATCCAGTGCTTTTCATATAAGTTTTATACAACAATATCACACACTGTTATGTTAAAATAACTAGAAAGAAACTTAACAATTTTTGTTAAGAAGCAGACAATATTTCGTTGTTTGTTATGGTTTAAGTTGCATTTTGGTCCTAACAGTGTGCATTACCGAAATTGTATTTTTGTAAAATCTCACCAGTAGCCCTTACAATCTTCTTAAGTGCCCTGGCATGGCCTTGTGGTTAGGACACTCGATGCTCAATATGCAGGATCGAAACTTGGCCTCGAATACGCTCGCCCTTCCAGCCGTGGGAGCATTAATTACGACTGTCAATCCTACTATTCGTGAGTCAAAAGTTGGCCTAACAACTGTCCGTGAATGCTGCTGGCTAGTTGTCTTCCCTCTGGTCAGCAGTTGAAAATCAGGTGATCGCGGCAGATAGCCTTAGTAGCTTTGCCATAAGCAAAACAAAAACAAAATTTCTTAATCACTAATGAGTATTTTAGAACAAGTATATTTTACTATTTTAGACGATGGTTTGAAATGGATCTTTGTACTTGTAATTACTGTAGGTGTTTTAACATGAGTTAAACTGTAATTTATTTTAATGTTATAAAAGTACAGTATTAGAATAAAACCTGACTTGGTGCATTCAGTATTTATTTTCATATAATACATTCAAATGTTTAATTGCCTAAAATTTAAATTTTCACTTTTTACATTGCAGTTCATCTCATTGTTCCACAAAAGTAGTTCTTTCCACTTAAGTCTTAGATTAATGAACTTGTTTTTGAACTGTTGTCAACCAATGGAGGGCCCTTATGAAGTAATTGTATGTCTTGTCTGTTAGAATACTCCATGGAAAGAACTGGCAAAAAAATGTAAAATAATCAACTTTTAGTTTAAAATACATACAAGATGGGTGATTTCACATAGTTGAAATAATTGTAATATTGGTAGTATATTCGTTTGAGCTTATTGTGTGACTCGTATATTGTTAAGAACCAAGTAACCAACAAAGAAATGGACCGACAATCACTTTGATGAGCAATTTGTTTAGAAAAAAATATATAAGTATTTAACGGTAATTCTAGGGCTAATAAAGCGGAATCATAGAAATCGCAAGCACGAAGTGACTAATTGATACGTATTGAGAATTTAAAATAGTCTTAAGTCGATATGTCAATTAATTTACGCTATTTACCAACAAGATTGATTCATACCGTTTTTTGTTTTTGACACAAATACGTTTTCATATATATATATATACAACAGTACAATTTACAATAGCAACTATTACGATTAATTACTACAAACAAAGTTTCATAAACAAAGATTTCGCTAACTTACAAATAATCTAAAATCGTCTTCCTAGTTCAGAGTCTCCTTGATATTCAGCAAGTTAACTTGAAGTCGATGTACGTACAATTGTCGGGAAGCTAGCAAGCTAGCTTTGTCAGGCACTGAATTGTTGGACCATCGAAGTAAGATAATATTTTCATAAAATCACTAATGTCCGATGAGAATTCACTGACATTCGAAATTTATAACTGTTCCTAGTCAAATGTATGTTTTCCGGTTGATAAGGGTTAGCAAAATCACTGTTTATAGTGTACATGGTTATAGCAGGTTCCTAGCAGATTTATATGTTTCTTTTTGGCGAGTTGCCTTGGCTGTTTTTTATAGGCACCATATTTAATCGGTTATGGAAGTGGATATATTGTTGATTCTTGTGTTTACGAATATTCTACAACCTTGGAGAATTGGCAGGAGTTTCGCCATATGTAACTAACACAGTAAGCTAGTCATGCATATTTCTAGATACAAATTCAATCCAAACAACGTTCATACTAAAAATAAGCCAATTTTTAATTAAGTCATTATATATATACATTGGCAAGATTGCATTATATATACAATACATTATTTAAAGGATTATACAACTTCAATAATGAATAGAATACAACCTGTACAAATTACTTTATCATAAAATTGCATAGTACATGAAAGTACACCAGTACAAATGTTATAAACCCTTATGATATGGATAATCTTCAAACCATATCCTCACAATGAATAAGTTGCAATTTAACAGCCTTATGTTTTATTTTCTTTCTTTCGCCCTTTTTTCTTCCTCTTTTCTCTCTCTTTCTGTCTTTTTCTTTCTCGTTTCTTCCATCTGTCTTTTTCCTTCTTTCTTTGTCTCTTTCTTTCTGTCTGTCGTTTTCTTTCTTTGTCTGTTTCTTACACTTTTTCTTTCTTTCTTTGTCTCTTCCATTCTCTCTCTCTTTATCTTTCTGTATTTTTCTTTCTTTCTCTCTGTTTTTCTTTCTATCTCTCTCTCTTTCTATTTTTCTTTCTCTGGTTGGACTTTACGACCAACTAACAGGTATGACAAGCTTTGCAAAATTGATAAATGTCTTGCCTAATATTTGGCCAAAAGAAATATCTCATAATTTTGTCACCCGTTTTGTTGACACCTAAATGATCTCCATGGGGAGTTCATGGGCAACTCAATATTTCAGAAGGACATGCTTTGGGAACAACAATTTGATAAACAATAGCCCAGTCCTCTGAAGCTGGCACATCTGGTGGTCTCCATTTCCTCATAAACACACCATTTTTGAAAAAATAACCATTTGGAACTTTCTTCAGTTCATCTTTCGGGAGTGCATATTTAAATAGTGAAGTGATCAGTTTACTTTAAGTAAGTGGAACTTCACTAGGTGAATCGCATCCTTCATGTGATCAGTTTACTTTAAGTAAGTAGAACTTCACTAGGTGAATCATATCCATTGTTGTCACTCACTGAGGTATTGTCAGTAGGACGATCATTAACAAGATCCCTGTCAGATCCAAAAATTTCTGAGACAAATCTATAATATCATCCTCTGAATCCACGCT